ATGTTTACAAATCCCCACCACCTCCTCCATACAAGTACGAGTCACCTCCACCCCCCACCTTATAAGTACGAATCTCCACCACCACCCCCAAGTTACTATTAGACTTGTAATATCCCTCCACCAACCACATTTCATTACCAAATATCAAACCCTTCCTAAATAATATTTTCTTCATCAAATCAAACTTTATAAATAAAAGTATATTCCCCTCCTCACATCCGTAAACGTCCATTCCCTTACCATAAATAAACTGCCCGGAGAAAAAAGAAAAATTCCTTTAATAATCCCCGCAAAGTGTTACACTTCGGAGAATTCATCCATATGTAATGTATTTGTGAACCTTAGATGTATTTAAACATGTATTTCGTTTCCGTGTTATTGTACTTTATATATTCAACTGAATAAAACGTGTTTGTTTAGTTGTAAGTATCTCTCTTCCCTTCAATACTTTGCTTTCGTTCTATAGTCAAATCCATCACGAATTCTCCTCCAATTAAGCAAGGATAAATTTCGGATTAATTATGAAAATCGAAAAAAGTAACTATAGGACTGCAGTTCTTTTTGCATTAGAAAATTAAACCGAAAAATTTGGATTACTTTTCATATATATATAAGTAGATCTTGTACACTACAAGGAAGAAAGGCAACTAGTAGAGCCGGCATATTCCTTCTTCGTATGAAGAAAAGAAATTAAAGAGCATAAAAGAATGTATAAGAGACAACCCCTTTTCGCCATACGACGTACTTTCAGTTAATTTGTTGATTCTTCGCCAAATACCTCTGTGTTGCAAACTGGACATGCCTGGGAGAAAAAAAAGTCGTAAAATCAGCTGTCGGAAATATTAAGAAAATAGATTTACCTTTTTCTCTTTTTTTTTTTAAATGTAATGGTGTTGGGTTTACCTTATTGATGCTCAACCATTTGGAGACGCAATCCGCATGGTACGCATGCTTGCATGGCAAATTGATTTGTCGGTCCCCTCTTTTATATCGCATTTGACAAATAACGCATCTGTTTTACCATAGCAGAAATTAAGCACGACGCTTTTTTTGATACATTTAGGAAAAAATCTACAATCTATCATTGATCGTAGTTATGAATAAACTCGACCGCATTTGCTGCAATTCAGACCAGGAAAAAAAAAAAAAAAAAAAACCTTCAAAAGCTCGCTAAAGCAACAAGACCGAAACAAACTAATTCTTATGAATGAAATATTTATTGGTGCTGTTAAAACTTAAAAATCTTGATAGTTTCAGATCAAAGTGTTTTGTGGAAAGCTTGAAAAGACAAAAATAAAAAATAAATAAATAAAAGACGACGACTTTACACAATTCCCTAAATAAATCCAGCGCTGCAAATAATTAATTATTCATCTCGGGAAAATGGAAGGCTCCTAAAAAGACTCGTTCTTACCTAAAGTACAGCACTTTGGGACTAGAAAAAACATATAGGTATGTTCATATAGAAGAGATATACGATTTGTTGCTTCATGCTTTCCTATGAGAGATTGATTTTCTTGATATCATTATACCGTTAATAAGAACTTTCCGAATGTAGAAGTGGATTGGAGAATTTTGTTTATGAAACAATTCATCATTAATCAGAAGGTTTATTGATGTAGTACAGTCGGCAAAAGCAAGTGGAAAATGTAAAAAAATTAAATAAATAAATAAATAAGGTAGGCTTAAAGATTCGCAAGAAAAATAAGAACCTCATCGGCAGAATGTCACCTGTCTCCAGATTTTCGTCTCGAGAAAATTCCACCGAACTTGTGTTTTGAAGTTGGAAGTAAATTAATGAGCTCTTGTGGAAGTCCTCGGCTTTCGGTTCCCACTGCCTCGCCTAAATCGAGAAGTTCCTACATACACAAAAACATGAATAAATTAACCTTAAATTCAAATAGTTCGTCTTCTCCGAGTAAATACTCTGCAGTCGTTAGGGAATGAAAACATATGACAATGGGCATCTTTTGAACCATTTCGTTATGTCCTCTGGAAATCATTTTTTTACAAATTACTTAATTAAGTTTTACACTAAATATATCTCTAATGGCATTATAGTCATTGTCCATTCTCGAACATCGTTTTGTTGCCTAGCCAATATATATTGTACTAATTTTTTCACTACTTACAGTTAAATATGACAACACAAACCAAAATCGAAACAAAATCTATAGAAACCCGAATAACACTGGGGAAAATTCCCTACCTCGTATGTCATGTTGTCGGGATCAATATCATCTTCCCACAAGACCTACAATAACACAAACCAAACGAAAAATTCAAAAAAATAATAATAATATTAATAACAACTTTGTAGCCCCTGTAATTCATTTATGCAAGAAGATGAGCTAACATGCAATCCGGATGAAAAATGAAAGAAAGTTCTCAAAGGAGGTAAGCCAGCTGTCAAATAGAATCGAAAAAAAAAAATGCCAAACCTGAGTACTATCAGCATCTTCATGATGTGGAGACCCTGCATTAGGAAACAATGCAAGAATCGGTTAAAACACGATTTATTTTTTTTGTCTAAAAAATCAAGAATTTCATTTTGCCTCGAACATAATACTACTCAAATAAAAGATTAAAAAAAGCGGTTACTTACGTTCCTCCGGAATAGAATGTACGGTGGTGGTCATACTTTGTTCGGACGGTAAATCGACAGCTATCGGATCTTCCGACATTGTCATCGAAGGGTACTCCCAATCTCTTCTGTTCAAATCCATCCTTCTAGAATGTTCGTTGTCCTCGTACATTCCGTAATACGAAGAAGTACTCTCCGAACCGGATAATCCGTATCTATACGAATTCATATGCTGCATCGACCAATACGCAGATTCCTGTATCGAAACATCAATCTCTTCATCACATACAAATACAACATTTTTTTATTCTTCGTCCACTAAAACCGAAACCCGAAACCCGAAAACCAAATACAACGTTTTTGTAACATGATTACTAATTTTGAACAAAAAATAACCTGATCGTGCATCGGAATCTGCCCGGTGTTAAAGTAATGCAAAGGGGCTGCCGGAAAACCGCCGCCGCCGCCGCCGAAGAAATCTACGAAACCCTCTGAAGCAGGGCAAGAGTAGCCGCCGCTGTCTATGTAATGCAACCCCACTTGATGATTCTCATTCATTATTTGCTCCAAAAAAACTGGTCTTCCCCCAAAACAATTCAGACAGAAAATCAAAAATTAAAAATAAAATTAATTTTAGAAATAAGTAACAAAAAAAAAACAGGAGTAGATAAGGCTAAGGAATTCAAAAAGGCAGGGTATTCTAGAACATTCTGGCCACATACGACGAACGAACAAACAAAATGTAGGATTTTTTTTCCAGAAATTAATATTTTTTAAATTAAAAATAAATAAAAAAGCACGCCGGCAAACAATACGACATACATTACGGTCTCATGCAATTTGATTTCACTAACCACGAATCGTTCGAGAAAGTTAAACAAAAAAAAAACATTGAAATAGATAAGCGTGCCCGTATGTATGTATGTATGTATAATGTATGTATACATACCTCTGCTTTGGTGAAGAGACCAAAAAATAAAAAAAATGCGGCGAATTAAGATTTGGTTCCAGAGGGGGGGAAGCAGATTCACACACAGTGGCGGTGTGGGTGAGTGTAATTTTTTTTTTTTTTTTGATGTTTTTGATTTTTTGGGTTTCTCTTTGTCTGTGTGTGACGTGTGAAATGGCAGAGTTGTCTGTCTGCTTTGCTTGAGGCGCTTATGCCGGACTTGAGATACACGCCACCCCCATCCCCACCCCCATCTCCATTTTTCTATTTACGTCTTTCTCTCTCCTCTCTCCTCTCTCCCTCTCTCTCTCTCTCTCCTCTCTCTCTCTCTGCACACTTCTAAGTTTTGTGACGTTTCATTGTAATGTTTTTGTTGTTTATTACCAGTTAATCAAATCTATCTATCTAAAGCAAATTCCCCCTTTACTCAAATTTTTCTCTTTTTTTAAATAACTCTCTTAATTAAATTTATTCGTTAAATTTTTTATTTATTTTTTAAATAACTCTCTTAATTAAATTTATTCGTTAATTTTTTGTGACCACGAATTTCTTTTTATGAAAAGAAAATAATAGAATGGGCAAGTTTGATTGAATGTAATTAGAACTAGAATTAGATATTGGGAAGGAAAAGTTTAAAGAATAAAAATGCACTACATCTTTTAGTAAATGTATGATAGTTTATGTAATAAATTAAATTTAAAATCTAGTATAAATCCCATCTTTTTCTTTCAAGAATATCACATTATTGATCGTCATGACATGAGTTTATCAAATTTTAATGTATAAATCATACTAGTATCTGCTGCAGACGCTTGATTTTTTTGGATCTATGAAGCTTTCTTCGATCAATTGATCCACCATTTTTTTCTATTTTTAATCGAGTATAAATAAATAAAACTTCCCAAAAAAACCATCCACTCCAAAATAAAATAAAAATTATTTAGAAAAAGCTAAAAGTCGTTATTTAGATTTAGAAATTCAACTAAATTTAAATGTAAGAGTGAAAATATAAATTTAGGTGGAAGGGATAAAGAAGAAAAAAATTAAAATTAAAAAAGTGACCTACGTTTACTAAAAATTGGGCTGTATTTATAATTTTAGATAGGTTAGAGGATTTGGCAAAATCGGAATAAAATAGTAGGGAAGAGAGAGAAAGAGGGGAGGGGGCAATAGGCATGTGAATAAAAAGCCGTAAACGTAGGGGATGAGAAGTAAATATGAATATCGAGGAAAGGTCCGACCCGAATTCACAAAACAGTGTCAGCAAAATCTTTGCCTTACAGCTGTTTCTGTAGCAACTGCTCCTACATTATTTCCAAATAGTTTGGTCCCCTGTCCTGTTTTAAAGCACCTTCCTCACTCAATTTACATATAGATAATCTTGTTTATTCACACTTTCACACTTTCTCTTTTCTTTTTTCTTTTTTCTTTTTTTTTTTAATTTTTTTTATTTATGTATTTTAAGCTCTCTTTATTTTATTCTTTTTTTTTTCTTCTTCTATTTTTGTATTTTTTGAAAGATAAATGTATGGGAGACTTACGGCCACCCCTGAGTTATGGTCAATTTCGAAAAACCCCGTTCTGTTTGGGTAATTACGACCACCCCTCAACTATATATTATCTTACGAAAATACCCCTCTAGAGGTAAATTTAGGGATATTAAATCGGTGAAATCGAACCGAAATTTCGGTACGCCAACATTTCATACCGGTCACCGAATTTAATATACGATTTTGTTCGGTGAATAACCGAATTACATAAATTTTATGTAAAAATATTTAAAAGGATGGGGTGGCTGTAATTACCGAAACAAGAGAATTGTTTCGTAATTTGTCCATACCTCAAGGGTAGCCGTAATTTGCCCTAAATGTTTTGTAATTGACACGTGGTTGAGAATTTCCGAATTTCACCGATCTGATCCGAAAATATCCGAATTTAGAATTTATTTATCATTCCATTTTTTTTTAATGAAATGGAATCCGAATTGTACATAAAATTCCCGAAATTCCGATTTTCGATCTGATTTTAGTTTCGAATATTGCCACTTTTTCCAAAATTAAATGTATAATAGTATATACAAAAGATATCATTACCCGAAGGCCCATTTAACTAAAATCAAGTAGCCCTTTCTGTGTGATGTTCTTTTTCCTAGATAAAATTACCCCAGGCCCATTTTTTAGTATTACTTACATTGAAAGTCGATGTGTAGTAAGTATTTTATAATGTTAGGTGTAACATTTTTTGTGTTCATATTTCGTACAAAGTTAGATGCTTCACCTGGTTATTTACACTTGGTAAGTGTTAATCTTAGATAGATTGAATAACTTCCAACTAAGCACACATACATATGAGTGTGTAAGATTATGTAAGCCGATCTACGATCAACAATCACTTGGTGTAAATGACCACCAGTAGCATCTAATTTTTCCTTTTTGGTACTTTTATGTTAAAGTAGAGCCGGTGTCCGTAAAATCAAATAGGGCTGGGACTGGGTTGAATCGGTCGATTACCAGCTTAAAAGCCGACCCATCCGACAAATCAATTTTGCTCAAATTTGAAAATCGTTGCCGACCCAACCTTTGTGGGTCGGTTGATGGTTGGCAACCGAATATTTGGTTCCGGAATGGGTCGGTTGTGTTGAATTTCGGGCACGTGTACGCAGCGGAAAACAAAAATTTTATGCGATTTAAACAACTTTAAAACACATAAACACATGCCCGATAATTATAACAATTAATTGCGTACCTTTGCGCTTCCAGCGAAAATTAAAACGACATACATGCTCAATTATTTAACCGAATTTAAATCATTTAGCATGCTCGCGTTTAAATCAAATAACATGCTCGTAACATATAAATCAATTTCATGTATTCACATAAAATTATATAAGAACGAACATACATATTTAATTTAAACGTATACGAATCAAAAACAATGAATCGTGAGTTTACCTCTTGAAGCGTGAGGTAGGCGCACTAAGCAAGACGAGATTGCTACGGAAACCAATCCGTACAATCCGGGGCAGCAGCGATGGAGCGGCAGCAGCGGTGTTACGGCCACGGCGGCGCGTGTAACTCACGCGCGGTCTTCGGGCGACGCGTGGGGTTGCGTGCCGCTTCGGCTCGTGTGCTGCTCCTCGATTCTTTGATCTTCGATATTCCTCCTCTCGGATTTCACCTCGTATACTTCGATCTACTAAACACGTGGCACTAGACACGTAATAGTAAGAAATAACGGAAGAAAAGAAAGAGGGAAAAGAATACCGAAGGTGATCGGCCAATGAATGGCCGATTACGGCAAAGCGGCGAGGCGACGGCGGTGGTGCCCGTGGGAGAGGGTGGCCGAGAGAGAGAGAGTGACGGCTAGGGTTAGGGTTTTGTGTTGTGTTTGTGCAAGACCTATAAATCTTGTATTTATAGTGCCTTGCATAAAACCCTAGCGGGCTTAAGTTGGACCGGGCCCAACAGCTTAAGTTCGCTAGTACTTTTACTTGCTCGTCTCTCTTAATTAAATGACCGAAAAATTGCAACGATTACATTTTCGGAATCATTATAAAGTCCTCGTCATTACGAGTGCCAATTCTCAATTTCCGACTTTCCAAAAGTAGAAACCCTAGTTCATTGCACTTTCTAAATTTGGAAACTTCCCGATTTAGAAAGTCCACTACAATGTTCGCCTATTCTTTTCCTTTTCTTATTCTCATTCGTAATTCCAAATTACGAATGTTGGACCCAATCGTATTGACTTCCAATCATGCAAAGATAAACTATTTTATCTCTGACCGTTTATTCAAAGATCTCATGTGCACGAGCAGTGTGACCCTCGATGGTTCAGGTGTAAGCTAGCCGTGGGCCCACAACTCTTTGTGGTCAAAACTCGTCCCTTAGAGTTACGATTAAGATGAAACTCCTTTCACCTTAATCACCCAACGAATCAAGATTGACGTCTAGCAACTACGTGTCATGATTCCCTATATACAAATGAAGTGCCTCCAAGAACCTTCAGATATAGTTAACGTACAGTACGGTCCCTTCGATACATATGTCCCGATTGAACTAGAGGCATTGGTTCGTCGAGACCTCTTTATATGTTCAATGACGGTGCGATCGTTCTAAGTGTTGTAATCGTTATGTGCATGACTTAGAGAATCGAATTCTCTAATCATCACTTAGTCAGTTCTGGCCAGAGACTTAGAATGATTACAAACTTTCAGAACACACAGGACATCCAAGACTATTCTAGCGATCGAATCCCCGACTACAATGCACAGACCTCCCACTAGATTTCGGACTGCACGAACACTGGCCCTTGGGATGGTCCTCAGTGGAACTCAGGGACAGGTCACGATACAGCTGGTCCTCTAGTGAAGTCACGGTGATGTCTAGGTCATAAGGACTAATGGTGTACAACTATACCATAGATATCTCTACTCGATTATTGGGAACCACTTAGAGATTTCTAGGGTGAGGGAGTTCAGTGAACTCGTCAACTTACGAGCACCCACTTATGCATGCCGATATCACAATACCGTTTACTGATGAGATGCAGTACACATACACTAAGTGCTAGTCTCTTAATGGGAAAGGCTGATATCCTCATTGGTGGCGTAACCCTTCGACTAGGAACACGTTTAACAGTTATAATACTTAAGTAAATATCTCACGATCCTAACGATCAATTACTAGTACTTGTAATAACTGTAAGGACTATATCTATGCTTGTGACAAAGGGACAAAGATATAGCTAGAATGCCAATGTGTTTTATCATTAATACGAATAAAGGTTCGTTTATTACAATAATAAATACGAAAGACCACAGCCACATGCTAGCTTGTTGGTCACCTACTCTAATAATCTCCCACTTGACCTAAAGCCAACTACTCATGAATCGCAATCCCATCGACTCTCGATGTTTCTCATGGACCGATCTCGGTAAAGGCTTCGTGAAGGGGTCTGCACCGTTCTCTTCCGAGGTGACTCGTTCCACTTTAACTTCACCTCTATCAATGATCTCTCGGATCACATGATACTTCCTCAGAATATGCTTCGACTTCTGATGAGATCGCGGCTCCTTAGCTTGCGCCACGGCTCCAGTGTTATCACAGTACAACGGTACTGGATCACTAGCATTAGGAATGACACCCAACTCTTGGATGAACTTCCTTATCCAAGTCCCTTCTTTTGCAGCTTCGGACGCTGCAATGTATTCCGCTTCGGTAGTGGAATCGGCCGTCGTGCTTTACTTGGAACTCTTCCAACACACGGCACCACCATTAAGCGTGAATATAAATCCCGAATTCGACTTTGAGTCGTCCACATCCGATTGAAAACTAGAGTCGGTAAAACCCTCTAATTTCAATTCGGTACCCCCATAGACCAAAATTATATCCTTAGTCCTTCGTAAGTACTTGAGGATATCTTTCACGGCTTTCCAATGAGCCGGGCCGGGGTTAGACTGATATCTGCTTGTGACACTCACAGCATACGCAATATCGGGTCTCGTACACATCATGCCATACATTATGCTTCATATGGCAGAAACATAAGGCGTCCTTTTCATCTCCTCGATTTCACTAGGTGTTTGAGGACACATAGATTTCGAGAGACGAACCCCATGGGACATTGGCAAGAATCCTTTCTTCGATTCTTCCATGCTAAACCGTTTCATAACGGTGTCTATGTACAGGCTTTGGGATAATCCAAGCATCTTCCTTGCTCTATCTCTATAGATGCGTATTCCTAATACATAAGATGCTTCTCCAAAATCCTTCATTGAGAAACGTGTGGACAACCATGCTTTCGTTTGTTGCAACATTCCTACGTCATTCCCAATGAGTAGAATGTCATCAACGTAAAGCACTAAAAATATCACTGCCCTCCCACTAACCTTCTTGTATACACAAGGTTCCTCCGGATTCTTCTCAAAATCAAACTCTTTGATAGTTGAGTCGAACCTAATGTTCCAACTACGGGATGCTTGTTTCAATCCATAAATGGATCGCTGGAGCTTTCAAACCTTTTTCTCACTTCCAGAAGATATGAAGCCTTCCGGCTGCGCCATGTAAATTTCTTCCTCAATGTCTCCATTAAGGAAGGCGGTCTTCACATCCATTTGCCATATCTCGTAGTCGTACCACGCAGCCATGGCCAGCAAAATCCTAATGGACTTCAGCATCGCGACTGGCGAAAAAGTTTCCTCATAGTCAACACCTTGCCTTTGAGTGTATCCTTTTGCTACCAATCTAGCTTTATAGGTCAATACCTTTCCATCCACTCCAATTTTCTTCTTATAGATCCACTTGCAGCCTATAGGAACAATTCCCTTAGGTGGATCTACCAAGGTCCACACCTTGTTGGAGTACATGGAGTCCATTTTGGATTTCATGGCAGTTAGCCAATGTCCCATGTCCGCATCCGATACGGCCTCATTGTATGTTCTTGGATCTTGTCCAAGATCAACATGATCTTCATCATTCTCGAGGAGAAATAACCTATCCGGCATTTTCCGAACTCTTTCGGATCTACGTACCGCAGGTTCAGGAGGTATATTAGTGGTTTGTTGTATTGGTTCGATTACTTGTTCTTGCGCTTGAACTTCACTTTGTGGTTCTTGAACTACTTCAAGTTCTATCATGCTGCATTTTCTATCCGATAGAAACTCCCTTTCCAAAAAGGTGGCATTTCTCGAAACAAACATTTTTGCTTCCTTGACATAGTAGAACTCGTATCCCATTGAGTCTTCGGGATACCCCACAAAATAGCACAAGTCGGATTTATTATCCAACTTGTCTCCCACTAATCGCTTCACATAAGCGGGACAACCCCATATCCTTATATGTTTGTAGTTGGGTTTCCGGGAATGCCAAAGTTCATAAGGTGTGGATTTAACTGCTTTGGTGTTAACTCTATTCAGCAAATACGCGGCAGTGCGAAGTGCATGACCCCACAAGTATGCCGGTAAGTTCGTGAACCCCATCATTGATCGAACCATATCCAATAAAGTTCGATTCCGACGTTCGGATAATCCATTAAGTTGAGGAGTTCCAGGTGGAGTCCATTGAGATTGTATTCCATTCTCTTTTAGATAGTCAATGAACTCGATGCTCAAGTATTCTCCACCACGATCGGATCGCAGCTTCTTAATACTTCGTCCGAGTTGCTTTTCTACTTCGTGTCTAAAATCTTTGAAGTTTTCAAATGTTTCAGACTTGTACTTCATCAAGTACACATACCCATACCTAGAGTAATCGTCGGTAAAGGTAGCGAAGTAGTTGTATCCACCCTTCGCACTAACACTTAGTGGACCACATACGTCTGTATGGATCAAATCCAAAAGACCCTCGGCTCGTTCCATTTTCCCTTTGTGGGGTGACTTGGTCATTTTCCCTTTAAGGCAGGATTCACAAGTTCGTAGTGATTTCACGTCCTCTAAAGAGAACAATCCTTAACTAACAAAATCGTTCATCCTTCTTAAAGAGACATGACCTAATCTAGCGTGCCAAAGTTGTGCGGGGTTTTGATCTATCTCCTTACGTTTTGCTGATATAACATTAATGGGTATTTCATTTGGATTTAGTTCATACAAGTTGTTTAATAGTCGTCCTTTGCAAATTAAATTCTCATTCTTTTGTATAATGCAAATCGAATTTCCAAAAACAAAAGTAAAACCTTCAATATCTAATACATGAATAGAAATAAGGTTTCTAATGAGGGACGGAACAAATAAACAATCGTTCAAAACAATAGGAAAACTAGAATCCAAAACATTCAAGTAAATCGTGCCAATGGCTTCAGCAGCAACTCTTGCTCCATTCCCCATCCTTAGGTAGGTCTCACCCGCTCTAAGCTTTCGACTTCTTGTAATTAGCTGCAAATCATTGCACAAATGTGAGCCACAGCCCGTATCCAATACCCAAGAAGAAGAATTGACAGACAAATTTACGTCAATGAAATACGTACCCTTTTCAGAACTTTTCTGCTTTAGGTAAGCCTTGCAGTTACGGCGCCAATGTCCTTTCTTTCCACAATGATGGCAAGCATCATCAACTTGCTTGCTGACCTTTGCCTTGGGGCCCCCACTACCTTCACCCACTTCGAACTTGCTGTTTGGGAAGGAAACTCTTTCCTTTCTCTTCTTTTGGGAAGAACTCTTCTTTCCAGAAGTAGCAGCAATGAGAACAGACTTCTCTTTCTTAATGGTGGACTCGAAACTGACCAACATGTTCATTAACTCATCCAAGGGAGGATCTAGTTTGTTCATGTTGAAGTTCACTATGAACGATTCATATGAACTAGGAAGACACGACATGATCAAATCCAAAGAGAGCTCGGCCGGGAGGGTGACATCGAGATTCACTAGCTTTTCAAGAAGAGTGATCATTTTGAGACAGTGCTCATGGACCGAAGTCCCTTCGCGCAGTCTCGCCGTGATCAACTCTTTTGTAGCAGCGTATCTCGATGCCCTAATATTCTCACTATACATGCTATCGAGATGAGCCTTTATATCGAAAGCATGCATGTGAGACTCATATTTCCTCGCAAGCGCGGGCTCCATGGCGGCTATCATATAGCACCTAGCATGTGTGTCATCTTTCTTCCATGCTTCATAAGTTTCCTTTTCAGCATCAGTCGTTGTGGCAGGTATAGTGGCGGGAAGTCTCTCGTTCAAAACATAGAGACGCCCCTCAACGGTTAGCACAAGCTTAAGACTACGCAACCAATCTAGGTAATTAGGGCCATTGAGTTTGTTGTCGAGGATTGACATTATGGGATTCTTAGACATGATTATCTGAGAGGTATAGAGAAGAGGATTATTAGAGATTCGCGTTAAATGATTGTTACAATTAAATGTTTGGTCTTATGTTATTTAATTGTTCTCCCACTAATTTTATCGAATTCCACTTCCCTCTAGTAGACAAACGAGAAAACTGATTTTTCTTAACGGGCTTTAGGCCCAATAGACAAATATAACCCGTAGTTAATCTAGCCCGATTATATTTGCCCAAAGGTAGATCACAATCAATCATATCCACAATATGACCCTAAATTAATTTTCCTCACACTTGATAATGACCTAAGTTAATCTCGCGAATATCAAAATCGTCGTGTGTCAAGTCTAACCTACCAATCAAAGATGCTCATAGAACTTGATTATGCCAAACTAATGCAGTCCCTAGTTAATCTAGCCGACCACGTTAATCCAACATAACCCTTTTCTATGGCTACCTTTATCGCTATGTCAATTGAATTACAGCTTACTCTACCATAGCACTCCCCGCTAACACGGCTTACTGCACTACAGTGAAGGGCTACACATAATCCAACCGTTGGCAGAAGGAAAGAAATAACTCAACAGATTGGGTTTTTCTTTATAGCTTGAAATGATTCTTAATTAGATTAAGAATGAGGGATTTTTATTAAAAGTTTTATCTCATCAGAAGGTTCGGATAGGTCTATGTGATTCCTACATCTATGTTCTCTAAAGGTATATGGAAACGCATATTGTCCTAAGAGGAACATACGACCTAACTACATAATTAATTACATTAATTAATTATCGGGTTTTTCAAAATAATTATAGAACCTCAACTAGCATAAATCATTCATATAATGTTGAGGCACTACTAATTAAGTTGAACTTATAATCAATATTATATATGTGTTCTATTAATTGAAATCAATTTAACAATTTAAATTAATTTAATTAATCTAACACCTATTTACTAAAATAGATGATTGTTGACTCGATTATCTAATTGGGATTAATTGAAAATAATTTTCCAAAAATTAAAATCAATTTGTTTTAAGTTGAATTTTAGAAATCTGGAAATTTTTTTTTTTTTTTATTTTCAGCGAACCGGTTCGGCCGACCGGTCTGACCGGTTCGGACCGAAACGGTCTGGTTATGCCCGGTCCAGTTGACCCAAATCAGTGGGCCGGGTCAGTCGGACCGAGAACCGGTCTGACCGACCCGAATCCACTTGGATTCGGTCAATTGGATCGCACACAACCATCGAACCGGCCGTTTCGACCGGTTCGATCCGAACAATTAAAAATCGATGTTTTAAAAACAATTTCAGATCCGATTTTCCAATTTTAAACAATTTTAAAGCAGCAAAAATTCTAAACAATATTTCAAAAATATTTTAAACTTACGAAAACTCCCAATTACATAATACAACAATCACTACTTTAATAAATCGAACATGCATAAAATCATAGCATATTATAACGAACGCAATTAATTGCGCAACGAGCTCTGATACCACTGTTGGGTTTCGGGCACGTGTACGCAGCGGAAAACAAAAATTTTATGCGATTTAAACAACTTTAAAACACATAAACACATGCCCGATAATTATAACAATTAATTGCGTACCTTTGCGCTTCCAGCGAAAATTAAAACGACATACATGCTCAATTATTTAACCGAATTTAAATCATTTAGCATGCTCGCGTTTAAATCAAATAACATGCTCGTAACATATAAATCAATTTCATGTATTCACATAAAATCATACAAGAACGAACATACATATTTAATTTAAACGTATACGAATCAAAAACAATGAATCGTGAGTTTACCTCTTGAAGCGTGAGGTAGGCGCACTAAGCAAGACGAGATTGCTACGGAAACCAATCCGTACAATCCGGGGCAGCAGCGGTGGAGCGGCATCAACGGTGTTACGGCCACGGCGGCGCGTGTAACTCACGCGCGGTCTTCGGGCGGCGCGTGGGGTTGCGTGCGGCTTCGGCTCGTGTGCTGCTCCTCGATTCTTCGATCTTCGATATTCCTCCTCTTAGATTTCACCTCGTATACTTCGATCTACTAAACACGTGGCACTAGACATGTAATAGTTAGAAATAACGGAAGAAAAGAAAGAGGGAAAAGAATACCGAAGGTGATCGGCCAATGAATGGCCGATTCCGGCAAAGCGGCGACGGCGACGGCGGTGGTGCCCGTGGGAGAGGGTGGCCGAGAGAGAGAGAGTGACGGCTAGGGTTAGGGTTTCGTGTTGTGTTTGTGCAAGACCTATAAATCTTGTATTTATAGTGCCTTGCATAAAACCCTAGCGGGCTTAAGTTGGACCGGGCCCAACATCTTAAGTTCGCTAGTACTTTTACTTGCTCGTCTCTCTCAATTCAATGGCCGAAAAATTGCAACGATTACATTTTCGGAATCATTATAAAGTCCTCGTCATTACGAGTGCCAATTCTCAATTTCCAACTTTCCAAAAGTGGAAACCCTAGTTCAGTGCAAACTTCCCGATTTAGAAAGTCCACTACAATGTTCGCCTATTCTTTTCCTTTTCTTATTCTCATTCGTAATTCCAAATTACGAATGTTGGACCCAATCGTATTGACTTCCAATCATGCAAAGATAAACTATTTTATCTCTGACCGTTTATTCAAAGATCTCATGTGCACGAGCAGTGTGACCCTCGATGGTTCAGGTGTAAGCTAGCCGTGGGCCTACAACTCTTTGTGGTCAAAACTCGTCCCTTAGAGTTACGATTAAGATGAAACTCGTTTCACCTTAATCACCCAACGAATCAAGATTGGCGTCTAGCAACTACGTGTCATGATTCCCTATATACAAATGAAGTGCCTGCAAGAACCTTCAGATATAGTTAACGTACAGTACGGTCCCTTCGATACATATGTCCCGATTGAACTAGAGGCATTGGTTCGTCGAGACCTCTTTATATGTTCAATGACGGTGCGATCGTTCTAAGTGTTGTAATCGTTATGTGCATGACTTAGAGAATCGAATTCTCTAATCATCACTTAGTCAGCTCTGGCCAGAGACTTAGAATGATTACAAACTTCCAGAACACACAGGACATCCAAGACTATTCTAGCGATCGAATCCCCGACTACAATGCACAGACCTCCCACTAGATTTCGGACTGCACGAACATTGGCCCTTGGGATGGTCCTCGGTGGAACTCAGGGACAGGTCACGATACAGCTGGTCCTCTAGTGAAGTCACAGTGATTTGGGATGGTCCTCGGTGGAACTCAGGGACAGGTCACGATACAGCTGGTCCTCTAGTGAAGTCACAGTGATTTCTAGGTCATAAGGACTAATGGTGTACAACTATACCATAGATATCTCTACTCGATTATTGGGAACCACTTAGAGATTTCTAGGGTGAGGGAGTTCAGTGAACTCGTCAACTTACGAGCACCCACTTATGCATGCCGATATCACAATACCGTTTACTGATGAGATGCAGTACACATACACTAAGTGCTAGTCTGTTAATGGGAAAGGCCGATATCCTCATTGGTGGCGTAACCCTTCGACTAGGAACACGTTTAACAGTTATAATACTTACGTAAATATCTCACGATCCTAACGATCAATTACTAGTACTTGTAATAACTGTAAGGACTATATCTATGCTTGTGACAAAGGGACAAAGATATAGAATGCCAATGTGTTTTATCATTAATACGAATAAATGTTCGTTTATTACAATAATAAATACGAAAGACCACAGCCATGTTGGCTTGTTGGTCACCTACTCTAACAGGTTGATGGTTTATACCCGCCACCTAGTTTACTTGAAACAAATCAAATTTTAGAGTAAAAATATCCACATTTTGCGTAATGCCACGGTGCAATCATCATTTATCAGTTTAAAATAATTAATAACAATTTAATGAAAAATATAATTAGAAAATTCAAAGTAATTTCAAACATGCACAAGAGATTAAATGGAGTTTTGTGGGCTTTTTGTTTAAGCTTGGGCATAAAAAAACTGGTCGAAGATATAGGTCAATTTTTTTCCTTTATTGATTGTTTTAAAATTTAAAATACTAATTATTTTGATAATTTCAATAACCACTTAAAAAAACACAGCTTTTATTTTATATTTTTAATAAAAAATTAATAGTATAGCTGGATAACCGATAATTATCGGTCAACCAACTTTTGATAATATTAGAAACCACCAACCGATCCATTATAGATAGGTTGGTTGAAATTTTCGACCCGATCCAATGGGTCAGTTAAAAATTGATTATCCGCCTAAAAATATGGTCGGTAATGGGTCGGTTGGTGGATAAAAACGAACACAGTCCCAGCCCTAAAATCAAACGAGGTAGCGATCTAAGTGTAAAAATATGAAAATACAGGGATCGGGGTGAAATATTTAAAAATTTCAATAGACACTCACTTCTTTCTAGAAATGTAAGCCAATCCACCATCTATATATTTTCTTAGAAAATAAATATTATTTTTTTCTCAAAGTTTTAGGGTTTTTCCTTTTTCTCATTTGTGTAAGATCGATATAAATCTTTAAAGCTGATCAAAACTTTAATTAATAGTCAATTTAGATGTTTGAAGCAAATCAGGTTTTATTTATGTATGGAAAATTGTAAACATAATTTTGTTGTATCCTTATCCTATACAATTACTTCTTTAATCTACCGTGCATTATATATATCACCACCATGCAACATTATTCTCAAAATATATATATCAAAACACAAAACAAGAGAAAAAGAGAGGGAGAGAGAGAAAGAAAAAGAGGAGAGAGAGATGGAGTTCTGGACGAGGGGAGAGAAATTGGGAGAAGGTTCGTTTGGGTTTGTATCCATCGCCAGAAGCACCAGCCGCCACCAACAAGCCAGCGGCCTTCCGGCGTTGATGGCAGTAAAATCAGCGAAAGAATCAGATTCGAAATCTCTGTCAAAGGAGAAGGATCTGCTCGACAAATTCAATGGATGCGCGTCAATTCTGCGCTGCTTTCGTGAAGATTACACCACCGAGAACGGCCAACAACTCTACAATATTCTGCTGGAGTACGCATCTGGCGGCTGCCTGATCGACCGCATCGCCACCGGAAGAAAAGTCATGCCAGAGAAGATGGTTAGCCACTACACAAAGTCAATTCTCACCGCACTGAGTCACATCCACAAACTCGGGTACGTCCATTGCGATGTAAAGCCACACAACATCCTACTTTTCAAACACACCCACGATGATGGAGATTGGGAAGAAGAAGCAAAGCTTGCAGATTTTGGGAGTTGTGTGATATTCGCCGACGAGGGCAACAACAGTGATTTCAGGGGGACCGTATTGTACGCGGCGCCGGAGTCAATATCTAGGCAAAAGTACGTGCCGGAGTCGGATGTGTGGTCGTTGGGGTGCACTGTTCTACATATGTTGACCGGGAATTCGCCTTGGACTTTCGACAAACACGTGACGGCCAAAGATGTTTTGTTCAAGATTGGTTGCAGCGATGCTATCCCGGAGATTCCGACTACCAAGAAGATTTCCAAAGATGCTCACGATTTTCTCGAGAGGTGCTTCGTTAAGGATCCAACTGCCAGGTGGACAGCCGACATGCTTCTAAATCATCCCTACATCAAAAACAACAACCGCCACCACCGCCGCCACCACCACCACGGCCACTTGTCGTCAAGATTTTCGCACGGGATTCATTCATTAGTTCCACATTGTTTTCACGTACCAAAAAGTGCTACTGTCCATGCATGTTGATATATGGACTTGAAATTCTAATTTGTAAATAAACTCATATGTTCTTCTTTACATAATATATACATGAATTATTTTATTTTTAAGAGATTGATGATGAGAAGATTCTACACGGATTTTGAACTTTTTATAGTTAAAAAATTAGTAAAGAAAAAAATAAAATATAATTAAAAAATAATTACAAAATGCCATTAAGTATTCGTAGGGTTACCCTAACCTTTCTTTCTTTTATACATAAAAAGCATCATTCTTCTCCCTTATATGGTACTATTGTTTTTTCCAATTGTTTCGGATAGTATATCCAATAATGAAGAATCAGCAGTTTACCTGTGGTTCATCTTTTGATTTATCGGCACATAGATGAGATCATTCGTTCTTCCCAACTCGTCCGGTTTTGATAATTTTTCCGGTATATATACTTATAATCTTTATTGGGTCTTTTTTCTTTCTATTTTTTTTTAATTTGGATATAAAAAAATTATTGTATGATTTTGACACAAGATTTTCAAGATTGTGAATGCAGCAATCTCGCGGGTTAAAAAATGTTAATAAACGAGTACGACGAAAATTTTGGATTCAAGAGAGTGTTTGAAATCACTTATCCAATCTTGATGTGGTACTAAGGCAAACAGAGGGATTTTCTGTGTAAATAATTAGAGGTGTGGATACAAGTATGAATGTTATATTTCTTATATTTATATTAATTCAATCACTAAGTTTATGTTATATATACTATTAATTTTTTTTTTATATTTATATTTTTTAAAATCGAAAGAAGTTGCAGCTGCGGATCTAAGAACAAGCAAAACAGCTTTGTGCTGTGACTCAATGCCAATTCAGAACCAAAAGAGACTTCTAATTATATTATGTTTGATGTTTTTTATACAAAAAAAAATAATCTTATTTAATTTATGTTTTATAATATTTTTATTTATTTCAATCAAGATGGTAAATTTTATTTGTTAACACAAAAATAATGTACATTTTGAATCGTAAAAATTCGATATAATTATGTAAAATTAAATAAATGGCTTTTCTAAGATTAAATCGGAAAATTGGAAAAATTGAAACGAACCGCTGAATAAAAATCCTAAATTGCAAGATGGTTTTTTTTTTTTATTATTTTTTTTAACGAGCAAACAATAAATTTTATTAAGCAAGATGATGCAATAACCGATGGGAAGACAACACCATCACCACCTATACGTGACCGAAAACAAAAGCAAGAGGTAACTCATTTCCGGTACAGCCCGTAACCTAACAAATTAGTAACTCTTAATTAACTTAAACTCGAAAAATTCAGAAAACAAAAACCAAACCGCATATCCGAATCTAATTAAGGCTAAGTAAGAATACTACTGCTACTTGAACCAGCAGCTGCTCTATCGTCAAGTATGTTCGGATCATTCTTTCGAAAGTTGATAACGAAACGGGGTCCGTTTTCGTTTTCATGTTCATTGTTGATGACTCGATAACCCCAGACTTCGACCCAATCGCCTTTCTTGGCGTTGTGCTGGGCGATGAGTTTATTCCATTGTTTGTTAATAGCTGTTTTGTTCAAGCTTGCCCATAATTTGTAACACAGCTTATAAAGCTTGCCGTTTTGATCGAGCCCGGTTAACTCTAACCCTCGTGGTTTCTCTTTTTGATCTCGGGGAGTTAATACATCTTTCCTTTCTTCCTCTGTCAGAAACTCCAACATCTTTTCTTCTCTGTTCACCATCAGCCTATTCAGACCTGGATTTACGTCGGATTCTTCCAGTTTCTTGCGGTACAAGAAAACAGGTCGTCGGGTATTATTACTACTACTACTACTACTTGACCCGTTTTCGTTTTCGTTTTCGTTTTCGTTTTGGGAGTTGTTGATTATTTCCATTAACCCTGGAATCTCCTCCAGCGGAACAGCAGCTTCTTCTTCATTGCCGATGCTGGTTTTCCGCTTCGATTTCCTCGCCACCGGTGATTTTTTCTCCGCCGCCGATTTCTTTTCGTCGTCGGGTTTTGCCTTCTTGTTTTTCCGGCCGTTAACAGGGGAGGTGGGGCCCACTTCTTGATGATTCATCGGAGGAAAGGATTGCAGTGGCTCTGAATCGTGACTTCCGTCGAACTTCCTTTTCTTTGAGGGTTTTAAACTCGTCGGAATTTTTGTACCGTCGCCGGAGGAAGAGGAACAAGGGAGGTTTCCGGTGATGACATCAGCGGCGGCGGCGACGGCAGCTTGAGATTCTGGAACACGCTTTTCTTGAACATCATCGGGTGGCAAGACCGCAACTGGGCAGCTGCAGCTCGGAGTAGAGGAATATTCCGTCGGTGGTGGGAGGTTATGAACATCTTCTTCGTGTACGGCGGCGGAAGAAGGGTGGATTCCGGTGATGACATCAGCGGCAACGAGAGATTCTGGAACACGCTTTTCTTGAACATCATCTTGTGGCAAAGGCGGACTTTGGCGGCGAGAGGTCGGAGCAGAAGAATATTCCGGCAGTGGATTGACATGAATTTCAACCCCAAACAACTTTAATATCTCCATTGCAATTAATTAATTTCTGGTGATTAAATTGATTTTCTTTAACTTTTTTCTTAATTGTCGATGGGTAATGAGATTAATTAATGGTGTATATATAGGCAGGTGATCGTAAAAGGGTTTTGTAATTGTATTAGGAAATATTTTGGATCTCCTTTCCTTGTTAGAACTGGACATCTAATCAATATATTATGGAATTAATTTATTAATGTTGGATTCTATTTTTATTTCCTAATTCAAATCCACTTCTTCATCTTCTTCTACGTGCATTCCAAACTAAAATCACACATAATTTCAAATTAAGTTTTCATTGTTAAAAAAAACTAATTTTAAAAGATGAATTTATGTTATTAATAGTATATGAATAAGTGTTGAACCCCATTATGAATTAAGGATGTTTATTTAAAATAAAAAATGTTATACTTTAATTGCCATGCATAAATAAAACATTCATAATACAATTAAACTTCCATAAATTATTATTTATTTTTTTTAGAAAGAAAGGATAATATTTCATTAATATAGAATTTCAGAAATTACAATATCTCTAATAAAGTTTATAAGGGAATTGAGCTGAAATGAAGAACTAGTAGACAATTTTGGTATTTTCATGAGCTAGTCGGTTGCCTTCTCGCAAAGGCCGATCTTGAATACTTCAAAGCTGGTGGCGAGGGATTTAATATCAGCAATGATATTACCATAGCTTGAAAAAGAGCTCCCACCATCTTCCACAACTTTAACAATGATACTCGAGTCGCTCTCTAGGATTTTTTTTTGTGAATTGATGTTCCTTGGCGAATTCCAAAGCCTTTAAAACCGCCATAGTCTCCGACAAAGTAGAATCTAAATTTACCTCTGGAGGGGTATTTTCGTAATTTGGCCATACCCAAGCGTGCCGTAATTTGCCCTTATATATATTTATTAAATAAACAGTGGAAAAATGTAAGTTATTATTAATAAAACCACGAATACCGCTCGATTTTTTAATATAAAAAATACACTCATATTTTCATTATTATTAAAAGTTCATGCATGTGAACAGGCTGGATGAATTGGATTTTGTTCAATATTTTTTGCAATAGGTCAGAAGAATTAGAGTTAGAGTCATCTTAGGTAACTGCTTGAATGGTTATTTAAGGGTCATCTTGTAAGTTGTAGGGATATTAAATAGTAAAATTATTCGTATTATATTTGTGAGAGCAATTAACTGATGAAATTACATGAAAAATCAAAATAATATATGTTTATCTTTTTTCATATAAAATTATTAATTTATCAAATTACTCTTAAAAATCCCAATTCTTTTACTTAAGAGTTGGAGAAAATTATGAATTTTGGTGGGGTGACTTTCTCTCTTAATCTTCTCCTATTGAGAATGAAAATTTGTATATAATTATTTCACCAAAATTTAATGGGTAAATTACAACTATTCCCTAAGGTATGGTCAAATTATGAAAACCCCTTATGTTTGGAAAATTACAACCACCCCTCAACTATAAATCTTCTTACACGTCGACCCTTGCGGTTTCAAATTTAGTGGAATTAATCTTTTAGATTTTATGGAATATTATCACTTTTGTACCCGTTTTATTCCATTCAAACTCCACATTTTGAAGCAAAATGATCATAATATGTGTTTTTTGGCTTGTATATATCAGATTGTGGTCATCAGAAACTGTATTTTTACACAAAACGACTACAAACTATATCATATTTAACTAAATCTAGATGATTATGTTGAATTTGACACCATAAGGGTGGAGGAGTAAGAAAAAATCATAGTTGAAGGGTAGATGTAATCATCCAAACAAGAGGGTTTTTTTTCCATAAATTAACCATACCTTAGGGGTGGTTGAAATTTACCCAAATTTAATAGAAAATTTGCAGTGAACTGATCTGCGCCTATATTGTTCCCATGAATTTTCGTTACGGAAAATACGAGGGTATTTTTGTAAAACAAAATGAACTAGAGACGTTTAATTATTCAACCAAATATCGCTTTGCAAATCAGTTTTCGTGTCATACTATTTGTGAAGTTCTAAAATATCTGAACTTCTTTTAAATTTCGATATTGGTTAACAGATCCCTCGTGTGATTGATGATCAACCAGAAAGATCAAGCAATATCTATCGGAATTCCTCGGCGAGGCCTGTACTTCTTGGGCCGTAAACTACCTATGGAATTGTGCCATTTTTGCACATTTGAAATATAGTTTTTTTTTTTGCTTATTTGCACCCCCAAAAGAAATTTGATTGCATTTTCACTCTCGAAATACAATAGATCATTTACAATAAGAAGAATTTCTTCTTTTTTACGCTATTCTTTCAGTGCAGAATGCCAATTCAAGACGTTCTTGTTTTCACAACACTTCAACTCAATTTTGAAGTTACTAAAAGATACTCATCCAATGACTTGAAAATTGTATTTCTTAAAATTATTTCTAATGTTTTATGATCAAATTATTCGAGATGTAGGTCTTTTACTGGAATTAAGTAAAAAGAAATTGATTTATTCCAACTATGTTATTTTCATCTTTCAATATATTCATTTTAATGGCTAAAATGTATTTTGCATCCCTAAAATATAGCATTATGCATCCCCAAAAATAATTATTGGCATTTTACCTCATCGAAACGCAAAATCTTTCACAAAGAACCCTATATTAATTTTTTGGTAAAGTTAATAAGAGAAACTTAATCTTTCTAATGATATTTGTTTAGGGTGCAAAAAACAAAATAAAAATATTATTTCTTTCCACCATTCAATCTAATTTCGGAAGTACAACATGCAAAATAAATAAACTCACTAAATTACTTAAAAAATAAATTTTCTTATAGAAAAACTTAATCTCCACATTTTTTTCTCAAATTGTGAGATTGATAGGTTTTTGTTGTCACCTGTGAAAATATTTGCTTTGAATTATTATTATATAAGAATATGACTACTGAAAAAATATTTTTTTAACCGGGGCTGTTTGCACCATTAATTTGAAATGACAAAAAAAAAAAAAAAATCAATTTTACAGTAAATTAAAAAGAAACCCAATGAGAAAATCCATAGTTGATCACTTTTAAATAGACATATGCTAGAAATATGTTGGAAGTTGTCGACATGTTATAGATTTTTAAGAACTTCTAGAAAGCACTCAATTCTACTGACACCTTGACTTTGTAGAATATATCAACATTCATATCAACATTCATATAATCACTCTCAACTGTATGATTAAATTAATTCTCACTACACATTAGGAGGTTGAATAGTATAAAATATGAGTAATATTTCAAGTGTAAGCCTATTGAACAAACTTGTAAATACTTGGAGTAATAGGATAGAACACAAATATTAAAAGTAAATGATAAATGGTTCAATAACTACTCGACAAAGAAATTGTATTTACATGAGATAATAAGGCATGAAACATCGCTAGTTGAGTTGAAACCGACATTTCCAAAAACACACCCAACAATGCCCTGCATTAATAATCATAATTCACATGTACGAAAATAAACATATATGTATAAAAAATAGAAAAAATCAATAGAGACAAATAGATGATAGTAATATAGCTCTTTTCATCTAAACAACATAAATTAATTTAACAAACTCAATATTGTTCCAAAAAAAAAAAAAAACAACTTAACTAAGACAAACTATATATAGGATTCGTGAAGGTGATAATCTAATGATCATGCCAAATAAGGTGATAATCTATTGTCGATACTATCACTTACATATAAAAGTTTTGAACTGCATAATAGCTAAGACAAGAAAATATCCGACACGATCAACCTTCACACAAAAACACAGTACCAACCAACTTCAGTCTTCAAAAGCATGCATGTATCATCATTCTGCAAGAATCACAAAACTCAAATTATGATACTCACTAACCGAATTTTGACATAAAAGCTATATTATTAAATTCATCAAATCATAAATTGTAACAAGTTCTTACCATAAAGAATTTTGCGTAGTGCTATTCCCTGGCATTTTCAGAAAGAATTGTTGCATTTCTTGAATTTGTACTTGCAAAGTCTCTATTTTTTCTTCATAGCTCTTGTTTTTCTCCTTTTGCTCTGCTAATTCTGTAGTGAGGGTACCAATTATGATTCTTGCGATTTGAAACTCAATTTCACTTTCTCGTGTATTTGACGAATATTTACTTATGCTAGGAACTTCTACCCCATATCCCATATATACCTTTTTGGTATCAATATCTATGACCAAGTGTTGTTACTAGGATTTGATCATCTGACATGACATTTTTTGCGTCTTCCATTGAAGTTTCTTCTAATTCCATCATTTTATTATACAAAATTCAAGTACATATCAAATATAAACGATAATGTGTCGTTAAATAATAAAATTATCAAATATCATACAAAAGCAGATGCCGCATCAGAATTAACAAATTGGCCAGTTTTGTCCACATGAGTTTTTCTCCATAGCTCAATCTTGTTTGGATTTGCTTGTTTAGAATGCATGAGTGAATAGTATAATATTTTTTCATCGCATAAGTGAATAGTATAATCTGACAAAAATAAAATAAAATTACATACCATCTTTTTATAGCGAGAAAGGTATCTGATCTTCCCGAAAGTGTGGCTGAAAAGCATTTTATCTTTATTGTTTACATTGGTAGTTGATCTCTCCTGGATTGACATGTAAAAAGTATTTTATTTATTAACTTTATCGTAAGAGAAATAAAATCTAACTATGTATCTTTTTTCTTTGGACTCAAGATTTTGTGAAACTTTAAGGCTATAAAAATGCATGTGCCATCTACGAAGATTGTATAAGAATGGTTGAAATTGTATTACCTTGAGTGAGGCCTCTACTATTAAATTAAGTCAGATATCAAGTTGACGTTGTATCTCCCTCAACCTTTTAATCTGCAAACGAGAGTTGTCATTAATAAAAAATACAATTTGGAAGCGGTGAATTATCTGCCCTAAGAGTACCTAGCTTTGTTTACTGCCCTAGACAGAGCTAGACCTAGTACTCTGCATTACACAACAAAAATATGCCAAATACATTTACTCAGCTCCAACACACACACACACACACACACAATCCCACTGTATGTCTGTGTGTGTGTTTCTTGGAGAGATAGTAGTTTCAGGGGCCCTGGTGAGCATATATATATATATATATAAGATACTTTTATTGCTCTATGAACTTAAATTAAGGAAGATGGAATGATATAATAATAGGGGAAATGAGTGTGCAGAAGCAGATATGTTATAAGTTTCATCCATGAAGAGAACTGTGGGACTAACTAGATAACACTGCATAATTAAGAGACTAATAAAGGAATATAGAAAAATTAATATGAAAACAACTAGTTAACACTGCACTTGCATTGACGAACTTATATTTGCAACTTCCGTAAAATCAAATTACACAAGCATAGCAAGGCCATCAACACAAGCAAAACTAAAAAAAATAATGGAAAATACATGGATAAAAATCAACTTCGGATTATGTTCTCCTAAAATATGCTCATTAAAAAAAATTCTCAAATAACATCTCCAGCCCTTTAAAAAAAACAAAAAAAAAAAATAGGGGGAAAAAATGGGGGTGCAGTAGAAGGGGAAAACCTTCAAATCTTAGGTCACATGTATTTGACCATAGTCCAATCCAATTGGAACACCAGTCACAAAAATTGGTGGATTAATAAACACGAATTAATTTCATATAACAAAATTGGTGTTCATCACTCGAGAACAAAAAATAATCTGGTTGCTTTCGGTGTTGCGGGTTATTAAATTGTTCAAGGTAAACAAAAAATTCACTCATGAACTTACCGAATTGCTGTAAACGAGTCGACACCAAAAACGCAATTATTGAAACTTTACGTTCTCTTCTGAATCGATCGAGATTGATGGTGGCGGAGGCACCGGAAAGCTGACAGTGTCACAGTGGTGGTGGTGGTGGTGGTGGACGCAAAATCTAGAAGAAAGGGGAAGAAAATCGAAGAGAAATAATCTAGAGGAAAGGGGAAAAGTGAGAGAGAACGAAAAAAGGGGAGATTATTATGAAGTACAGTTTGTCACAACGTAAAAAATCTGGGAATGAATTTTAGTTTCTATGATTAAATAATTAGATTAATTTATGTATGACGAAGTACATTTTGTCACAACAAATAAATAATGTGACTAAATTACTTTTGTCATAAGAACATGAAATATTGTGGCATAATTGAGACCGCCAGTTAAGAAAATAAATTCCTACATTCTATTGTGACGATTTTTACTGTTGTCACCTAAAATGGAGTTTATGCGATGATATTCACTTTTGTCTCATAAATTATTCATTTATGAGACGAATTTATATTTCGTCATAAGATCTCCACTCTACTGTGACGAATTTGGATTTCGTCACAATAAATCGTCATATAAAACACTTTTTTTTGTAGTGTATGGTCAATTTATGAAAAAACCCCTCTTGTTTGGATGGTTACATCTACCCCTTACTCATCCACCCTTATGGTGTCAAATTCAACATAATCATCTAGATTTAGTTGAATGTGATATAAATTGTACTCGTTTTGTGTAAAAATACAGTTTCTGATGACCACAATCTGATATATACAAGCCAAAAAATACATATTATGAGCATTTTGCTTCAAAATGTGGAGTTTGAATGGGATAAAACGGGTACAAGAGTGACAATATTCCATAAAATCTAGAAGATTAATTCCACTAAATCTGAAACCGCAAGGGTGGATATGTAAGAAGATTTATAGTTGAGGGGTGGTTGTAATTTCCCAAATAGAAAGGATTTTCGTAATTTGACCATACTTTAGGGAATGGTTGTAATTTACCCATTAAATTTTGGTGAAATAATTATGGGAAATGATGAATATAGAACGTCTTTTAGTAAATGTAGGACATTTTTTTAATTGTAACTTTTACAGAACTGCTTTTAGTAAATGTAGGATATTTTTTTAATTCTAATTTTTATCACTATTTTAGAACGTATTTTAGTAGCTATAGACATTTTAATATAAACTAGCAAACACCTGTGCGAAATACTCTTAAAAGCAAACACCACCTTAATTTTTCTTCGATCTCTTTCTTTGAGCTCCAACTGTTAATGGAGATTGAAATATCACCCATTTTTTTTTCAAGTTATACTGTTAGTTTTTATATATATAATTCACTAGCAACTATATGTATTAATAAAAAATGCTTAAATAAATAATAAACAATACAATTTCCCAAAGCCTAAAACTTGAATGTTACCAAGAGTGTTAACAGTGCAAAGAATTCAAAGTCACACCAAAAAAAGCTACTGAGACGTGCATTATTAAGTGTATATTTTTACACTTTATCGTACCTTTTTATTTGAGCTTTTGGTGTGATTTAACGATAATTGGTGCTTAAAAAGTCGATTTATTGTATTTTAGGTATAAATTGAAGAATTGGAAAAGTTTGGGGTCAAAACTGTAATTTTAGAGAAAATATGGGCCAAAAGTGAAATAATCAAAAATCTGAAGAATTTGGCACGGGACGGCCGTCCCAGATTTACACCTAAAAATGGGACGGCCGTGCCAACTGCAGAAATTGGGCAGAAGGTTTCGGGGATTCTCGCGCGGCCGTGTGAAAATTGCACTGATTTTCGCGCGGCCGTGCCAAAACACGCTGGAGACAATTTTGGACTTTTAATCACACAAGGAAACCTAAAATCATCTACCAAGTTGGGACATCTATTTAAGCCCAAACCAAGCACGAATTAGAGGACTTTTGACACAACCTTGGAGCGAGAGGAGCGAGAGAACGAAGAATAGAAGACGGAGAATTGACAAATCTTCATCACAATTCTTCTTTCATCTATCTTTTCTTAATCTATTATTTTTATATTTTTATGATGTTTTTCTTAGAGAACATGCGTAGCTAAGTTTTTAATCTAGGATTTTGTCGGAACCCTATGTGGGGATGGTGAACCCGTTTTCTTGAGATTATGCAATTATGATTTTATGATTATTTCTTCTACTTGTTATGATTGTTAGTGCATGAACCTGATCAATTTATGTGCTTTATCTGTGATTATTGGGATTGACTCGACAGAGCTATTTTGATAATTAGACGGTAGGTAGAAGAGCCTTCGAGTAGTTTTCACCGGATGAATGTGTCAATTGCATGTGGTGTCGTAGACATACAGATATCACCTTATGTAGCCATTTACGAGACTTGTTAGTTAATGTTTTATTTATAATTGGTTTGCATAGACATATAGTGAATCGTTTATGAATAATAGACTCATAATACACGCGACAGCGGGTTATGAGTAAATTAGTGTCTCGGGTTAATAATCATGAATCATATATTTCATAATTGAGGGGTTTTGGGTGAGCAATTCTTGCATAGGGGGAAGATAAAATCCTAGGTCCGTTTTTATTGATATTCTCTCTTGTTTATTTGCTTTCATAATTAGTTTAATTTATTTAGTTGATTAAATTTGACAACCTTGCGTAGGCTGTATAAAAATCATAATTGTTAGAATTTGGTACTTAGGATTAGATAATTTGAGTATTCCCTGTGGGATCGACATCCGACTCTCACGAGTCCACTTTTACTACTTGTTTGCGATACGTGCACTTGCGTGTTAGGTATTTAGCACCCAACAAGTTTTTGGCGCCGTTGTCGGGGAATACGGCTAAATTATCTATTTATTCTAATATTAAATTTGAGCAATTTTTCTTACTTCAGCCGTTTTATTTATTTTATTTAATTATTATTATTTTTTTATTATTTAATTTTTTTTTAGGTACTTTTTATGCGATAATGGAAGAAGGGAATAATCGTAGGGGAGATGACCAAGGGCGCCTACCGAATGCGGCAGGAAATATCGTCAACGAGCAAGACCAACTTCAGCTAATTAATCCACCACCTCGTCAACGAGCATTGCATGAGTACACCGTTCCAACACTCAATGGGTTTCAATCAAGCATCCAGCAGCCCCCCATTGAAGCCAACAATTTCGAAATTCGAGCGGGACTCCTTACTATGCTCCGAAACAATGGGTTGTTCAGCGGATTAGCTCACGAAGATTCACATCTCCACTTGGTCAATTTTCTCGAGACGTGCGACTTCCACAAGATGAACGGAGTATCGCCCGAAGCACTGCAACTCCGCCTGTTCAAGCACTCTTTACAAGGAGCAGCCCGAGAATGGTTACAAACTCGCGCACCGCACTCCATCTCGTCTTGGCCCCAATTAGCACAACTCTTCATGAACACCTACAACTCCCCAACAAAAACTGAGAGAATCCGGAGAGAAATACAAAATTTCATGCAAGAAGCCGGTGAAGCGCTATTCGAGACGTGGGAGCGGTTCAAACAATTAATTCGGAGATGCCCGAATCATGGACTTCAAGAGTGGAGGCAACTTCAAATATTTTATGATGGATTGCAAGATAATTCGAGAACGGTGCTCGATTTAGCAGCTGGCGGTATGTTCATGAGCTTGACCTATGACGAAGCGTACGAACTTTTGGAGCGAATCGCAAGGAACAAATACATGCGGGCATCGGACCGGTCAAATAGCGGAGCTGTCAAGACGGGAGGAATTTTGGAGTTAGACGGGGTCACCGCAATCACCGCTCAGTTAGAAAAGCTATCAAAGCAAGTAGCAGCTTGCAGACTCAGCAAGTCCATGCAATCAACGGTCCCAACCAGTGCTTAGAAGAAACGGAGTCTCTAAATTACGTGAATGACACCAACCGACAACAGAGGAACCCGTACTCCAACACCTATAATCCGGGATGGAAAGATCACCCCAATTTTGTATGGGGAGGAAATCAGCAAGGACAAAGGCAAGCACCACCTCAAGCTCAACCTCAAGGTGGAGATCTCGCAAATATCTTGGCGCAATTTATGACAACCACCCAAGCCTCCATCCGAAATTTGGAAACACAGATGGGTCAACTTGCAACCCAGCTAACCGCGAGGCCATCGGGAGCACTGTCGTTGAATACGGAAGATCCTCGAAAGAGCAACATCGAGCAGTGCAATGCTGTAAGTTTAAGGAATGGGAGACAATTGGAGGAAGCCCCACGAAAAGAGAAGAGAAGTACGGTAATCGAGAAGACGAGTGTGATTGGGGAAAAAGAAGCAACTCACGAAGAATCACTATCATCAACAGTGAAATCACGAGCCCCTCCAATTCCATATCCTTAAACGTTTCTCAAGAAGAAGCTCGATGCCGAATACCAAGGGTTTTTGGACAAGTTGAAGGAGATTCACATAAACATCCCTTTTATCGAAGCCCTTCAAAAGATGCCAAAGTGGGTGAAATTCCTCAAGGATCTCGTGACAAAGAGGAAGAAATTGCAAGGGAACGAGATGATCCAACTCACGGAGCAATGCAGTGCAATTCTTACACGGCCCCTTCCACAAAAACTCGGCGATCCAGGTAAGTTCACTATTCCTTGTACTATAGGAGGTAAAAATTTTAGATCGCTCATTGATTTAGGAGCTAGCATTAATCTTATGCCTTATTCGACTTATAAAAATCTTGGGTTAGGTGAGATTGAACCGACGGCTATAACTCTTCAATTAGCCGATAGGTCTTTAGTTTACTCAAAAGGTATTTTAGAGAATGTGCTAGTAAAAGTGAACAAATTTATCTTCCCTGTTGATTTCGTTATACTTGATATAGATGAAGATAGGGAGATACCTCTTATTTTAGGGAGACCGTTTTTAGCCACGTCGAAAACTCTAATTGATTGTGCTAGTGGTGATCTTACAATGACGGTGCATCATCAAACGATCAAATTTAATGTTTTTAGTGCTAATAAAAATCCATGTGATAATAATGATTGTTTTGCTATTGATCTTATGGATTTTACAAATCATGAAAAATTTGACGTTTCGATCTTGGACCATGGGAAAGCATCTTTGAGTGCAAGAGATGATGGCGGAAACGGGAGTCGGAAGGAGCAAGTTTATTTTATGAACTCAATTCCAACTCTTCCGGGAGATAGTCAAAAGAGTTGGGGTTTTAAAGACGATGTTGGCAAGCCTCATG